TCCAAAAAAAAAGGCTAAAGAAGGAAATATGTTTTTTGACAAAAGGGACAGTAGCACTTTTACAGGCGACAATAGACCTCGAACGTGAAGGCAATCTCGCTATATAGCGATGACGCTATATGGAAGATTGGAAATGCATTATCAATGACAAGTTCTGCAAAGAATCAGGACTTACAGAAAAGTACAGCCAAATACAGCTATAAATAAAGTAAAACGCTGCGATAGGGACGGGAAATATGCTAATTTCAAGTGACATGCCTTCCATATAATTATGACAATGTGCTGTCACATTTTAAAGGTATACATTGACATTATGTTTGTACATTTCTTGAACTTTTGAACATCATGTAATATAACTTAATAGGGTAATGATTAATAATTATGTTATGTGTTAGAGAATAGCTACCTTCACTCTGCTATTCAGCCTCCAGTATTTGCATGCTTTATATATCCCTCATAGTGTAAACCGTAAAGAAGCATAACATCTTCCACTTCCAAAGCATCTTCTAAAAACATTGCTAAAATAGCCATCTGGTATTCAGCTCTGTTCATGTTTACAAAATTAGTACCGTGTTCGTAGTCGTATAACTTTGACAGAACTGCTAAATTCAAATATCCCGCTGCACGAAGACTTAAGAGGAAGACTACTATTCACAGTCTACCTCGGCCAAAGCACATCTTCGTCTTCGTACTTCGTTTCCTTGCTCAAACTCGCTTTTACCTGTTCTGAAACAATAATTTTTCAATACCCACAGGCATTCGATATTGAAACAGCAAAATTAAAAAAAAGCATTTTTAAATGTAGTGAATTGGTTTAACCGTGTATATTGAAAGTAAACTTTTATCCACAAACTTAGGTAATTAGATACTATATACATGCATGAGGTAGCGAACAGCATCGCAGCCAGGGCCTAAATGTAAGGTGTTATAATGCATAATGTATAACCAAATTTTTATATATAATATTTTTATATATCAAGTAGCCAATTGTAAATTACCTTTAACAGTGAGATTTGCAATTGTAAGTATGTATTAAAGGAAATAAAGTTTCCATTATTATTATTATACAATAAATTGTATTTAGTTATAAAGCTCATTAACTGCCGACATACAAGTCTCTAAAGAAGTCCACTAAAGACAGAAAGCAATGAAATAAGTCGATAATTACTAAGAATGAGTTGTGATCCATGTTTATAAACAGGAATAACACTAGCAATTTTGAATTTATCAGGTACAGTGCTAGTAAAAATTGAACAATTTAATATTTTTTCCAAAGGCACAGAAACATGTTCGTTTATTAATTTCAAAATTTTTATAGGTACACTAAATGGACCATAACTCTTAAACGTTTTTAAATTACTTATCTCAAGGGAAATTTCACTAGCACTGATATAGTTAAAAAAAACAACTATTAACTTGTTTAAGTCCTGACATAAATGTCATAGGAGATTTACCAGCCTCCGTAACATTATCAGCCAAATTCTTGCCAATATTAGTAAAAAAAATAATTGAAAGAATTAGCTATTTGTGATACATCAGATATTTCATTATTTCCAACCAAAATTTTAGATGACATACTATTCCTTGAAGATTTTAAAGATATTATTTGTTTAATTCCTTTCCAAATATTTTTGATATGGGATTTATTATGCATAAAATAATTGTTACAATAATGAATCGTACTAATTCGTATGAGATGATTTAGCTTATTTCTGTATAGCTTAAATTTAGTGTGATAATAAACTGATTTAGATTTAATGAACTTCCTGTAGAGTTTGTTTTTAATTTTCAAAGATTTCCTAATACCAGAACTTATCCAAGGTTTCGAGCGACATTTAACCTGCCTTTTACTCATTTTAATATTGGGAATATGTTTGTCAATGAGGTTAGATAACACAGAGTGAAATGCATCAAACATATTATTAACATCATTATCTGTAGTATCGCCTAACCAGTCTGCTGCTTGAACATCATGGAAAAAAGTTGCCTTATTAAAAGAAGAAAAATCTCTTCTATAAAATTCAAAATTTGTAGATAAGGTTGAAAATTTATTAATAATAAGAAAGTTTGGGAGATGATCTGACAAATCATACACAACATTTCCACTAATTGTATGATGACTTAGAAAATTAAAGAAATATTGTCGATTAAAGTAGCTGAGTGAGAAGTAATTCGGGTAGGTTGAAGAATATGTGGATTATAAAAGTAAGTTCCCAGAGAATTTAAGAATTCTTCAGTTGGCAAATGAGAATCAGAGTTTAATAGATTAAGATTGAAGTCTGTTGTGAGTTCTAACGCACTAAGGATACCGGATAGTCTATAAATTTCGTTTATATGTACAACAAAAATGATGTCAAAATAGTGTATGAAAAAAGTTATATCCACGAGGTTTTTTAAACTACAACAAGTTTCTTTTTGGCTATGTTTCCACTTTAGTACTTTACCGAACAGTGTTTCCACTTTATTAAACTATAGTATCAAAGAGAATGTCAAATTCAAACAAAGTCACCCATTAGAACACAATACTTTTGTTCATTATTAATCTTATCAAGGCTATTATTTAAGGAAGTCATGAAAGCTGAGACATCACTATGTGGATGTCTATATATCAGACCAACAATGAGATTATGGTTAAATTTGACTGGTAATTCAATCCAAAGAGTTTCGAGTCCTGCCACATAGTCAGAAAGATCATGTCTAATTTTGTAGCAAAAACTGTAATTTATAAAAAAACCAACCCCACCCCACCAGCATTAGATAGGCTAGGTTGTCAAAAAAATGTAACAACTCTTCTGTTGAATAATACCTAAAATTTGATTAGCGTGGAATATTTAGATCAGGGTCAAGTTTAGAAACATTATATTGACGATTAAATATTTGGATCAAGTCTAATTGAGGCAAATTATCGAGATTATTCAATTCAGAATACATATCAAAACTCAATATGTATAAACGTTACTAACTTAGCTGAATTAGGTTTAACAGATTTTGTCAAGATCCTTCATCTCAAGAATACTAATTGGTGGGCTGTTTTCATCCTCATGAAGGAAGATACGACCAGCTGATGACCAAATAAACTTATACTTTAATTGTCTCTTCTTCTCCAAACAGGAATTGAACAATTGTCGGTTTTGTTGAGTGAGACTCTCTCCAATGTAAATATTATGTTCAGTTGTTCTGGTCAGACCAATATCTTTCCTAGATTTACCACAAAGATGTTTCCTAGCTGTAGATGCAAAAGCTAATTATAAGTTTATGGTAATTTATGTTAAGTGCATGCTTCACTATTTACGATTGGGGTTCGTGGTTTCTGGGGCTTTTTTGTGTGCAAGAGATATCATAAGGATATCATACCGATGCTTGAACGGCTCAGCACATTTAGTCAAGTACCATAGCTGAACCTTAGAACCCAGAATAACACTACATGATAAAAGTTGTAAGAACAGTAATCCTAAGTAGCACAAGAAGATGGGTTCAAACTGCAAAGATGTTCAGGATGCGTGAGCGACGAATGTGAAAATTGACGGGTACAAAACAATTGACATTTGTACTTGACTAAATTTTTAGTCAAACAGGAAACCAAGTTCAAGTATATTTGATGATTCGATTTACGTTTACCAACGAAGTCGAGCGTATGTCGTCAAAGTATTGATGTGCGTTCAACTGAGGAAGCCGGTGATTCTGTCTTGAGTCTAGAGGCAGAAACTGAGTCAGCGTTTTCACGAGAATCTATGAGAGAACCTGTAAGAGAAACCGTGCGAAGAAGTGTCCGATTCAGAAGAGGGAATACTAAGATGGACAGCGATGGTGTGCTTTGAGAAAGATTGATAAGCTTGAATAGACAGAAATTGGGGGCTTCGGCAGCCGTGACTGCAAAGCGTAATGAGATTGAAAGGCTAATGGAAAACGAAGATAATTTCCTTCGAGTTCAAGCCGAAGCTGCTGCTTTAACTGATCTGTTTGAAAGGTACATTGATGCCCAGAAGAAGTTGTTGTCAGAAATTCAAGACGAAGACGATAAGCTAAAGGCCATTTGTAATTTTGACAAGACAATTCAGCGCGTGGGAGTATTTGAAAGCAGATTAAAGGCGTGGTTAATTAAAGTTGAAGGCAAAATTCAACAGGATGTTCAGCCAAGCGACAGTGTGTCTCAATTAACAAAGGTAACAAGTTTGTCTAAGAAAAGCTCTAGGTTAAGTCAAGCGTCGTCAAAAGCAAGTTCCATCTCGGCGGCGCGAGTTAAAGAAACGGCCAGAGTGGCAGAGATTAATGCGGAGGTGAAGATGCTCAAGCAAAGACAGGCCTTACTGAAGAAGGATTTGAAGTTAAAAGAAGAGAAGATGAAATTATCATTTCAAATAGAAGAATTAAACTTGGGGACAGAGCTTGCTAAAGCAAAAGCCAAAGAAGAGATATTCGCTCATGCAGAAACTGAATTAATTGAAAGTGACACATGGAATGCTGCACTGAAAAAGACAACTTGCGAAAAACCTGAACAGCCACCAAGGGAAGCGTCAAAACTAGAGAAGATTATTTGCAAAGTACGTAGAGATAAAAAGTTGTACGAAAAGCCGCAAAGTGGTATGTTGAGACATTCTCGAGAACAACCTGTAATACAACAGCAGCTTGAACCAGAAAGATCACGATTCAACCAGACGCGTGGGGCGACCAGTGCCATAACGTGTGACGAAGATAGCGACGAGACGTTAAGCTCTTCTGCTTCCGGTGTTCATCCAAAGTTGTCCAGACCTGAAAACGAATTCAAAATTCTACAACAGCAAAATTCCATCATGGAGAAACTGGTAACACAACAACAAAGAGCAACACTTCCATGTCGTGATATGTTTACGTTTGATGGTGATCTAACGAAATATTGAACTTTCATTTGTGCGTTTGAAACCCTGATTGAGGCAAAGGAACCAGAATGCGCAAGCAAGCTGTATTATCTTGAGCAATATACCTCTGGCAGAGCACAAGAATTGGTTCGGAGTTGTCTGCACATGCCTCCGAAAGAAGGTTATTTGAAAGCCAGAAAGTTGTTGGAGCAGACGTTTGGGCAGAAGCATAAAATTGCAATGGCTCATGTGGAGAAGCTTACCAATGGAGGTCCAATTAAAGTTGAATATGGCGATTCATTGGAGCAGTTTTCGATTTCACTGATGAGTTGCTCTAACACATTGAAGGCGATTGGTTATCTCAGCAAGATTGAAAATCCCAATGCTTTGAAGAGGATTATAGAACGGTTACCGTATAAGTTGCAGGAAAGATGGCGAGACGTTGCAGACAAAATTATGAATGACGAAGGGAGAGATGTCACTATTGAAGATGTTGCAAAGTTCATTGAAATTAAAGCAAGATCCATGAACAATCCTGTATTTGGTAAATTATCGTACTCTTCTAAAGATCAGAATGTTAAACCTAAAGTTCCAAGGCAGACAAAGATCCCTGAAACAGAAAGCAAATCAAGCACCTTTGCTACCGAAGTTGATGATGTAAAAGTAAAGTACCAGCCAAAACTGTCAGAAGGGAGTGTTTAGACGGAAAGGGAGAAGATCGTTTGTCAATGTTGTGGAGCAAATCACAAGGTTCCCGACTGTGAAGAATTCACAAGTCTTATTCTCACCGACTAGATTTCGCCAAGAAGCATAAGCTTTGTTTCGTGTGTTTGAAAAGCGGTCATCAATCGAACGTTTGCTTCAAGAAAAAGCCTTGCAAAGAATGCGGTGGGAAACATGCAACGTTATTGCATTTCTCGCAACAATCGACGCAAGACGAAGCCTTTAAGGAAAAGGACACATCGAAGAAGAGTGACCAGCATGAGCATGATTCTGAGAAAACCAAAGAGGATTGTGTTGACTCTCGCTGCAGGTTTACCACGACCGTAGAATCCATTACAGCCTTACCCGTATTACCAGTGGAGGTCAGGAGACGAGGCACCGTAGACTACATCCACATGTACGCCTTGCTGGACAATGGCTCAAACTCTACCTTCTGTACCGAGTCCTTAAGAAAGCGCCTGGGGTGCAATGGAACAGAAAAGAAGATCAAGTTAACGACCATTGGTACGAGACAAGATATCACAACTGTTATGCTCGATGATTTGGAAATTACAGACTTGGACGAAAATAACCTTATTCATTTACCTGAAGTTTTATGCCGACCGAATATACCGGTTACGAAGGACGAAATCCCAACTCAGGAGGATGTAGATCTTTGGCGTTATCTTCATGGTTATGTACACCTGCCCAAGATCAATTCTGAAGTAGAACTCCTCATCGGAGCGAATGTTCCGGAAGCCCTTCAACCCATACAGATAATTAATTCCCAAGACGGAGGACCATATGCTAGCAAAGTCGCTCTTGGTTGGGTAATCAATGGCCCTGTTGGACGAAAACTTGGAACAGCTCTTCACGCTAGCTTTTTGTGCAGTTTGCACTGACTTCATTGATGCTGCAGATTTCAACAAAAAGATGTCCAGAGACGACCTCCAATTCATGAACATTGTCGAGACCTCTGTGAGACGAACAACAGACCAGCATTACGAGATTGCGTTACCCGTAAGAGACCTTGCATTGAATATGCCAAATAACCGCGTGCAAGCAGTGAGAAGGATGGCCCATCTCAAACAGAGATTCCAGAAGAATCCAAAATTCCATGAAGATTATACCAAGTTCGTGACCGAAATAATCCAGAAAGATTATGCAAGAAAAATCCCAAAAGCGAAGTTAGATCGTAATGACGGCCGAGTATGGTATCTACCGCATCACAGAGTTTACCATCCCAAAAAACCAGACAAAATTCGCGTAGTGTACGACTGCTCAGCAGAATACCAAGGAACGTCATTGAAATGTTATTTTCTGTGGTTCGCAGAATAGCAGAAAGTTGTTGTTTTCACGGTTCGTGAAACACGTGATAGTTACCATGGTAACGGCGCCATTTAGGTCACGGGGTTTTGACAGTTGCATTCTAGGCTGGCTCTGCTCCAACACTCACAAAAATTTTTCAGCTCTCATATTTCTATATTTTTGTTTTTACTAATCTTATCGTTCAATCCGCCATTCAAAGCAGGCAAAATGAACGAGGAATTGAAAGTAGAACTTCAGAAACAACAAGACTCCATGCTGGAGAAGCTATCCGCCGTTATGGACGCGAAAGTTGGCCAGATGAAACGTGAACTCGAGGAGGTGGCCAACAAAGCACATGACTCGCAAATGACAGAACTTAAGAGAATGAAGTTCTCGGAGTCGCCATCCTTCAAAAAGAAAGGCCACGAAGTTCAATACAAGTACAACAAGCAGGTCAAGCTTTGTATCATCGAAGCAGAGGACCCAGTCAAAGACAAAAAGCTTGATACGTGTTTACAAAAGTTAAACGAAGGTAAGGACCTTATTGAGTCGCGACAAAAGTTAATTCTGCTCGCAGACAAGTCCGAGTACGGGTGGAAAACTGTATCAGAATACCTTGACAACGAACTGGCTGATGACGAGGAAGACGCAAAGAAGATAAAGAAAGCAGAGAAAGAAGCCCAAAGAAAGCTTAGCGAGACAAGAAACGCGAAGAAAACTTGGGGAGTCAGTTGGGGCGGATTTTCATGGTCGCGCCGAGGGTCTTTTACTAATGGCAGTCGTACCTGGGTATCTCCTCATATGGCGCCACCTCAACCGCTTCCGCCGCCAGCTTTCACCAACAACCATCTTTACAGTAGCACAATCGGGAAGCAACCGGGTGTCTGTTTCACGTGCGGTAAGGCTGGCCATTGGAGCCGAGAATGCCCTTTAACCACCGGGTTATCAACGGAAGTACAACAGAGTGGAGGCACAGGAAGAAAGTTAAGTAGCAATTTCTCAGATTTTGATTTTATAGAGGAAGACGTAGATTGTTTTTGTAGCGAGATAGGCGATGTTGAGTGCTCTGCACTTGATCAAAACTCCCTCGGCGAGGACGGGGAATTTAGCGAAGGGAACCCCACCCACGTTCGGGTTGGAGGCAGACTTAGAGAACATATTTCGGCTTGGGAGGACCTTCAACCCCCTGAGTACGTTCTTAACATCATCAGACATGGGTACATCCTTCCTTTAACAACACTCCCAAAACCCCTCATTCTCCGGAACAACAAATCCGCTTTGGAAAACGAGTCTTTTGTAACCAATGCTATTACTGAATTATTAGCTTGTCAGAGTATAGTTAGGGTGGATATCCCACCGGTAGTCGTTAACCCATTGACGGTGGCCATAAACGACAGGGGCAAAAAGCGTTTAGTGTTAGATCTCAGACATATGTGAAGATGTTGACACTGATGCCCTTTGGGCTTTCCACAGCGCCTCTGGTATTTACTAAACTTCTAAAACCAGTGCTTCGTCACTGGTGGTCCACAGGTATGAGAGTGTGCATGTTCCTGGACGATGGTCTAGGGGGCAGTCCATCGCTCCAGTCCACCATAGTAGTTTCAGAGAAGGTAAAGACTGATATGCTTCAGTTAGGGTTCCTTTTCAGCGAAGAAAAATGTTTCTGGGAACCTGCACAGATTCAAACTTGGCTCGGACACATTTTTAATATGCGCAAGAATCAATTGTTTGTTACAGAAACACGGGTACAGAAATTGGAACAACATTTATCAGACGCATTAGATAGTCCCAAAAAGGTAACTGCAAGGCAGTTAGCAGCTGTAGCAGGTCAAATAGTGTCCATGTCACGGGCCATAGGACCAAAAGTTTATCTTTACACACGGCACATTTACTTTGCCATAGAAGCCAGGGAGCACTGGGAATGTTTTTTACCACCCAACCCTGAACTCAAAGCTGAATTGCAATATTGGGCAAACAATATTCGTTCACTCAACGGTAAGAACTTGTTTGTCGAACCCCAACAATTTAACACCGTGGTATACTCAGATGCCTCAGAACAAGGGTACGGGGGTTATGCCATCTCCAGCCAACAGAAGTTGGTTTGTCAGGGACTTTGGTCGAGAAGTGAGAGATCAAAAAGCTCAACCTGGCGGGAACTTAAGGCGGTACACATTATGCTGTTGACAATAGGAAAGAAATTGCTTAACCACAAGGTTCAGTGGTACACTGACAATCAAAACATACCACGTATTTTAGCCTGGGGCAGCAGAAAACCCGAATTACAGAATTTAGTGGAAAACGTTATAACGTTGAGCAAGGAATTTAATGTCCAGGTCTGCCCGGTTTGGGTTCCAAGGGGAGAAAATCAAATAGCGGATTATCTCAGCAAGCTGCCAGATGGTAATGACTCGGGCATACACCCAAATATTTTTAACTGGATCAATTCAATGTGGGGGCAATTTACAGTTGATAGGTTTGCCACTTGTTATAACACCAAGTGCGTTCGATTTAATTCGCGGTTTTGGAGTCCCAACTGTGATGGGGTAGATGCCTTTTCCATTAGTTGGTCAGGGGAGAACAATTGGGTGGTACCCCCTCCTAACCAAATCGTCAGGGCGTGGAAACATTTCCAAATTTGCAGAGCACAAGGTGCTTTAATAATACCTTTATGGCGGGGCTCGACCTTCTGGCCAAGCATATGCCCAGATGGTATTCATTTAGCTAAGTGTGTGACAGCTTGGGCCGGCATCCCAGAATGGGATCATCCGTCTACAATACCAGGCAGATCACATAACACCATTTTTAACGGGGATACACTGCCCTTTAGATTAATCGCACTATACATCGATTGGCAGGTTGGTAAGAAAAGAGCATCAGACAGAGGTTTCTGCATGAGCCCCTCCGGCATGTGTACAGAGTGCATGTAGAGGTCAATCAAATGCATTTCAAAGGTATAAAAGCTAAAGCAAATCACAAGCCGTACGTCGATAGATAGGCCACCGGTTGGCCCTTGTTGGTTAAATTAGCCTGCAGACGGTATGCATAAGTTCATAAGTTTATACCAGAAACATTACGGTCCACAGGTGACCAGATACCCATAGAAGGTATTAAATCAGAGAGATTCCCAAATGTGGTTAGGGGTCTCCAACAAACATGTTTAATCATGTCCACAGGCGACCATTCACCCATCGGCGGTAACAAACTTAGGAAAGTTCTCAAGTACTCAACGTCGTCAGGCGTTGCCGATTAAAAGCCATACTAGAATCACAAACCAGAACTTTTGGACAGTACGTGTTCACTCTAATTTTCTACATATTGCAATCACTGCATAAGTATTTTCTTTTTATAGGTTTAAACTTGTTTGATCAGGGTGTGTGGATGGCGTTAAAACGCAAGACCTCATCTACGGGAGAGACACATCTTTTTGAGTTACTTAAGAAGACAGCTCTGCATGCCAAGGCCGATGGAACGGTATTAAACTATACAAGTAGTTTACATTGCTGGGTAGAATTCGCCAGGGTTAAAGACTTTAACGTGTTCCCAGCATCAGTTTTAGACGTTTCGCTATTTATAGCGCATTTATCCACTACTTACAAATCATCTTCAGTTATTCAGTCTAGTTATTGTGCTCTTAAATGGGCTCACGACCTTGCAGGGGTATCCAATCCTATGGAAAGCAAATTCCTTCAAAATCTGGTGGAAGGGGCCAAAAGGGAGCATGCCAAACCAGTATCTAAAACAACACCAGTCACTAGCGAAGCGTTTGTTCTTCTCTCTTCTGTCCGTGCTGTTCGTTTGTAAAGCGTTACGTATAAAATGTCGTGAATAAATACATATAATTTCAACAGGTTATGGGCCCAGGATGACTCAAAACGGGCATGAATTATTCAGATTATATTTGCGAATCGAATGTAGTAGTAATAATATGGACTAAAAACAGTCAAATACGATGGCGATGGCAACGGATTCTAACAGCGTGCTAAGAATTACGAAGTTAAATGGCTCAAATTATAGAGATTGGGCATTTAATATAAGATTGTATCTTGAGAGTTTCGATCTGTTCAAACATGTGGACGGGTCTGCTGAACCTCCTGAAGAAGATGCAACTGCAGCCATTAAAGAAAGCTTCAGATTGGCAGCCAAGAAAGCGTGGACGTATATTTGCTTAAGTGTGGAGTCCGACCAGCAAATACATGTAAGAGACACAAAGACTGCAAAGGAAGCGTGGGACGCGTTAAAGAAACAGTTCGCTCGAGAGTCTATCTTACAAAAGGTGAGACTGAGGCAACAGTACTACTCATGTCATTATCGTACCGGAAATAATATGTTGGAACATATTAATCGAGTAAAGTCATTGCACGACCAACTGAGAGAGATGGGAGTTGATGTAGATGATCAAGAATTGGCGATGACGCTACTGGGGAGCTTGCCTGAAGATTACAAACCGCTGACAACTGCTTTGGATGCCGTTGGTGATGATAATATTTCGTTAGAGAAAGTAAAGAATATGTTGTTGAATGACTTTGATCGTGGTAATGATGCTATGAAGAAACATGAAGATGCATTTTCAGCTAAGCGGTGGAATAGAGGAGGA